GGCGCTCGAGGCTGCCGGCCCGCTCCGCTGTGGGACTCCCCGTGCGCTGACCCGCCGCAGCCCCAAGGGAGCCACGTGCCCCTCGCCCCAGCTCCGTGTCCTGTAATCCATAGCGCCCTTACACATCTGTGTCCACACACAGCTGGTGTCCCATACACCCCCCCCCCGCACACACACCCCTCCAATGACCCAAGACACACACCCCCCAATGGCCCCTGTGTACGTGTCCACACACACAATGACCCAATACACCCCCACACCCCCAATGGCTCCCTGCACCCCGGGTCCAAACACACAGTGGCCCCATACAGCTGGTGCCCCCATGTCCCATACAACCACCCCAAACACCCAGTGGCCCTGTGCACCTCTTGTCCCTGTCCCATACCCCCCCCCCACAGCCCTCATGTCCATGTCCCACATCTAATGGCCCATACACCTCATAGTCATTTCCCATAGATGTTCCCCCCAACCCCACAATGGCCCATATATGGCCCCCATACACCTACTGGCTCCATGGATGCCAGGGTTGTATAATTTTTGTTGGTGCCCAGGATGGGTCCAAGCAGAGTCAGCCCATCCATCAGACAGACCAGGCAACCGCCCCATGATTTGGGGGGCCCTGCGCTTTCGGGGGGGTTGGGCCTGGCACCAGCGAGCAACCCAGCCCATCCCACCCGGCCAGCTCCCGGCATCATTCGGGGGAGAAGGCGGAAGCCACAAAGAGGCGGCGGTAGGGTGATCAGATAGCAACTGTGAAAAAAACAGGACAAGGGGTGGGGGCAATAGCACCTATATAAGAAAAAGTCCCCAAAAAACAGGACTGTCCCTATAAAAATGGGACATTGGGTCACCCTAAGCAGGGGCTTGGGGGAAGGGATGGAATGGGTAGCTCAGTGGTCTGAGGATTGGCCTGCTAAACCTAGGGTTGTGAGTTCAATCCTTGAGGGGGCTATTTAGGGATCTGGGGCAAAATAATCTGTCAGGGATGGTACTTGGTCCTGCAGTGAATGCAGGGGACTGGACTCAATGACCTTTCAAGGTCCCTTCCAGTTCTACATTTCTATGATCTATGAAGGGATGGAATGGGTGCAGAGAGGGGATACAGCAGGGATGGGAAAGAGTGGAGTGGGTGAGGGGCAGGGCAGGCTGAGAGCAGGTCACTTGCTGCTGCCAGCACCAGGCTCCCTACCAACCCTCCCAGGCTGCCTTGGACCCCCCATCCTCCTGAAGTGCAGT